CAAAAATGGATTTCTACAAAGCAGCGTCTATTTTTTGTTCTGTTTCCATTCTAAGCTGGTTGAATTCTCATATTGGAAGGAACAATCTCTTGAGACTTATTTTGAAATAAAAGGTGTAAAAGAAAGAAACAGTAAAATGAAAGCCAGGTTCCTTACGTTTTTAATAAAAATCTGCATAGATCTGCTAGACATTGTAGCTTTTACCGAACAGCATCAGTTTTTGCTTTACTGTAAATTGCAACTCCCAGCGATTCCCAATCACGCTTAACTTCCCCGATGATTGGAATGCCTTCTGTGTTGGAAAACTCCTGACTTCACACATACAACTCCTAGAATTTTGTTTCCCTTCCCCTTCTATAGGTATTTGCAAGGTACTAATAATTCAACTATGCTTTGGTCTTACATTAAGCCATGATTACATGATGGCACCACAGGGAGCCTCAGCTTCAAAGTCCTCCTGATAAATGTTTTCTTGTTCATCAATATGTAACTGAAATCTTGTTTGTTTTTACATGGCATATCCATTTTGAATTTTCAAAGGACAAAAACGGTAAAGAAAATTTAAGAGAAAAATTTTATTTCCTACTCTTAAACTTTTGTATCTTGAATTTATGATGATGAGAAATTTAGAAGAAGCATCATAGAAGAAAATTAAGATTAAAATTTAACTTAATAAGTAGGTTTTTTGTTTTCTTGTTTTGCTTTGTTTGTTGAAGCAATGTATTAAAATGTTTAGATGCACAGAATAGTCCACAGCAAATTGTTTTCCTTCTGGTGCAATTAAAAACAGTTGTTACTTGAAAAGAGTTCCACGTTTCCTACCTTTGCTTACCAGACGTGTGTGTAGGCTTGTGGGAACACGGCTTTTGTAGGAAAACACATTCCATGGTGCATGATGAGAGTGCCCCAGGAAGCCAGGAGAGGTTGTGTGTGTATAACCAGAACGATGTGAGCTAGGAAGCCCTTCATGCGATTGCCCTATTGTAAAAATCTTCAAAGTATGTTTCTAGGTTTGGATTTAAGGTAAGTATGGGTCATGAAGGCTAGTAAATATATTTTTCCCTATATTTGTCCTTAATTTTTTTCAATCTTCGTAAGCATTTATGAAGTACCTGTTGTATTCAGGGCTTACTGTACTACATTCTTAGATACTGGGGTAGGAAGACAGACTAAGTGCACGCACTCTGCCACCAAGAGCCTCTGAGCTGAATGGAAGACTGGCTATGTAAACCAAAATTATAATAAAGAAATAGCATTTACTGCTATTCATTCAGTCTCAATAAAACTTGGACTGGTGGTTCTGTTGCAGAACCGTGTATGTCCATTTCACGACAGTGACGTGGCTGGGCTTCTGATTAAAGAGTCTGCATGATTTCCTATGGGAAGTACTGTGTAATTAATACCGTTTTGTTTTGCTGGGTTTCCATTTTTTTTTTTTTTTTTTACAATCAAAATACTGACCTGCAAAGCGGTGTAAGATTTTCTGCCCACAGACCATTTAGTACTATGTAATAGAAAATGCATTTGCAAAGATTTGGGACATGTTGATAAGGGTCCTGAAGTAGGTCATTCTGGTCCCTTTTCTAAATATAAGTTTTCAGGCTGGATATAAAAGCGGAGTGGATAAATTGTTATTTTGATAATTGATAAATTATTTAATACCAAACTATAAATTGATTATTGATTAATTATTGACAAATTGATAATATTTGATGGATTATTTGATTAATATAAAAACTGTTTCACTTGACTGGCTAAGATTGTAAATTTTTAACATTTACACAAAACTGAATTCAGAGGGGTTCAGAAGGTTTTGGAAGGTTCGTGATTGGACACTGGTAAAAGGTCCACCTCAATATTGATATATTTAAGATTCAGAAATACTTGTACCAGTGTAATGCTTAACACATGGTAAGATAATTTGTTAATGAGACATAAAATACTAAATTAAATATATCACAGTACTTCATTGTCAGGAATACACTATAAAATTCTTAAGAATGTAGGAACCTTGTTTTATGATTGGGGCCGGGGGGATGGGGTCCTATTTCCAACCCCATCTAGCTTGATTCTTAGCACAGACTATTAGACCATCTTACAAATAAAAAACACTAAGTCGGTATGGCTCAATACAAAAGCTTAATCATTGGTCAACATGAAATTCTTGTTGATGTGAATTGGGTAGTCTTCCTCCATCTTTAGGTATGCCATCTGGAACTCATGGCCTCAGATGCTGTCAAATCAGGAAAACCACAGTCTAGCAGGTGGTCGTGGATGTTTTTACAGACCAGACCTGAAAAAGACCTGCCTTCTACCTACATTGCTTTGTCCAACACCTAGACGTCTGGAATCAGCCTCACTACCAACAAGACTAGGAGGTATAGAAAATGCAGCTATTTGATGAGCATTGATGGTTTGCTACCTAAGGCAGGTGTGTGTGTGTGTGTGTGTGTGTGTGTGAGATATTTCATCCATTCAGTCATTTACTTCAAAAAATAACGAGCAAAACCTATTACCTGGTGCAAGGGGTTTATTGCTGATTATTAAAGTCACATATTCTTAATTTTGGGAAGGAGTGTATTTTAAGGAATGTATTTAAGGCTTCTTTTATACTCTCTATAAAGAGTATATATTTTCATCATATAAAGTTTTAAGGAATTCAGATGGTAGTTTTACACAGTTATTAAAATATCCACATTGCACAGAACATTCACAATTTCTTTTGATTCCTTGAGAGAATATTAATCTTTCTGTTTTTGAAGAGTTAGTAAGAGACTCAGAATCTAAGATCATGTAGCTAGTAAGTGGTAAAATTGGAACTTAAAACCCAGATTTTTTTTTTAATATTTACTTAGTTTTGAGAGAGAGTGCGAGCAGATGAGGGGCAGAGAGAGAGAGGGAGACAGAGAATCCCAAGCAGGCTCTGTGCCGTCAGCAACGAGCCAGACACGGGGCTCAAACTCACGAACCACGAGATCATGACCTGAGCCGAAATCGAGTTGAATGCCTAACCAACAGCCATCCAGGTGCCACAAAACCCAGATCTTTCTGAGCCCTAAATTTCCAGCTTATTCCAGACTGCTACAGGACCTTTTGGTATCCGTTTTTAGGTGAAATTAACTCGATTCTTTACCCATAATTTGCCACTCTATAATTTTCTGCACTAAAGTGTTGGTCGTTCATTCCCAGTGCAAGGCTCACTCTTGTTTTTGTGAATGGTTACCATGGCAGTCCCATTCAGAATTGGACATTTACCTTTTCAAGACAGGGGCATTAAGGATCTAATTCAAATAGCTCATCCCATGTAAACAGAGTAGAGGCCACTGAGGAATCCCAAGATATACCTACACGGCCTGCTTTTTCTGCCGTCTTTGTTCACTCTTGGCAGTGTTAGTGTTTGTGTGCCATGTCCCTCTGTGACTACAGTCACAGTGACCAAAAACACTTCTATTGTGCACAGGTAATAGGTTTTTTATTTATTTTTTTTATTTTTGAGACAGAGACAGCATGAACCTGGGAGGGACAGAGGGAGAGGGAGACACAATCTGAAGCAGGCTTCAGGCTCTGAGCTGTCAGCACAGAGCCCGATGTGGGGCTCAAACTCACAGACAGCGAGATCATGACCTGAGCTGAAGTCGGATGCTTAACCGACAGCCACACAGGCGCCCCGGTAATAGAGAGTTTTTAAATGTCACTGTATGGTGAAACATGGGGCATTTGTGGTTACAAATTTGTGGCACCGCAGTTACAACTGGCGGTAGTGCAAAGCAGTGGGACCATCACATATGGTCCCTCTTCCAACTTCTCGGCTGCCACCTTAGCATGAAAGCTGTCATAGTAGGCAAATAAATTAAAATGATTGCATTAGCATAAAACTTCATTTTGGTCCCGGAAATTGAATTTCATGCATTTTTACATGCCTCAAAATACTCTTCCTTTGAGGGTGGCAGTAGTGGGCTTGACCAGGCATGGGCTTGACCAGGCACCATCCCAGCTGCTAGAATGGTGTGCCAGGGGCATAACCAGCAATTCCAATCCCATCACGGCAAACTCATGTTTGACCCTGTAGATAAGTGATGGAAACCCAATTGGAAGTAACTGAGGCAAAAGAATTTGGCAGCTTATCTTACAAACCACCGAAGAAACACTGGTGACGTGCCCCAACAGAACAGGATGCCAAATCTGCAGTTGGAAATACAGGGCAAAGGGTCCCTCCCATCAGGAGAAGGAGCTGGCAAGGCCTGTGGAGGCTGCCGGAACCTCAGGCCCATGGGCAGACTCCAGTCCCCACAGCATGTGAGCAGAAACCCATTCTTAGGAACCAGGCCACTGTTTCTCATCCACAGTTATGTGGGAGAAATCAGTGACAATAAAGTATTCATGCTCTCAAATGAATTCCTTTTATCGGTGTTACTTAGAGCAAATTCGAGCTTATCCCTATTGTCATTCCCACACACTTGAACTTCATTACGTTTCTTGAGAGCAACAGAGGCTGACTGGAAAAAACACAGTAGCCTGGGCAGCAAGATTGCTATCAAGAGAAGACCACTGCAGGAGCCCACATTTCACCACCTCAAAGACTGGAGCACATACAATGTGCTCTCAGGCTACCAACTGGCTGCTGGTGTTGGTCAATTTGCCCCAGAACTAGATGGTTCTCAAGCTACATGTTGAAATTCGTCACTTCTGCCTCAAAGTCATAGAATATTCTTCCCATTGAGGTTTGGAAAGAGTCGTCCAAAGCTTTTTGCTTAGCCTACATTTTCTCCTGGAATTCCTCAGAAAGATGGTCTGACCCATTGCTGGCTAACCATGGGCAGTAGGAAAGAGGTCTGAAATGTCACCAAAGTCAGGATATTGGGATTACATTATTTACTTTCTGGAAGCTGCCTGTGCACGCTGCCCTCTTAGGAGACACCGGGGCAAGGTAAAGCGAGAAGAATGGGGGCAGTGGTGCGGATGGCAGGTGACAGAAGCAGGCCTGAAGATTGTAGCTCTAAAGTCCACTTTGTGCTCTGTCGACATAAAGAGGGGAGAACAGGCCTATCTCTTTAAACAATCACCTGTGCAGAAATCCTGTCTTCAGCTCCCCAAAGCTGAGTGTGTGTTCAGAGGATGAACTATTGTCACAGAATTGGCTCAATTTAATATCTGGGGAAACGGAGCTAGCACTGGTTCAGTTTGGTGAGGCTCTTTCTTTCCCCAAGGGCAGGATTATAGTTTATGACATCTCTGTATCGGCAGAGTTCGCTGTCCCAACCATTACTGCTCCAACTAGACAGGAAGCTCTGGAGAGGAGGGTCTCTGAGAAGCCTGCAACAGTAAGGGCTGTGTACCCCAGGGGTCCTGCAGGGTGGCTTGAGCTCCAATCCCACACAGTGCTCTTCGGAACTGCTCCTTGAACCTGTGGACCCAGGGACAGGAACTACAGCCTGCAAGATTCAGCCCTGGACACCCTGCATCACTTGCCTGGGGAGTTTAAAAACTATCTTCCTTCACACCTGGGGACTTGCTTTTTCTCTAAGAGAAGAACCTAATGTGAAAACTCTCACTCCTTTGCTTTGTTTTGTTTTGTTTTTTTTCTGTTTTGTTTTTCTTCCAAGATTTTGTTTATATTCCAATTAGTCAACATACAGTGCAGTATTGGTTTCAGGAGCAGAATTTAGTGGTTTATCACATATATACAACACCCGGTGCTAATTACAAAGTGCCCTTAATGCCTGTCACCCATTTAGCCCAACCCCCCCCCCCATCAACCCTCAATTTGTTCTCTATAGTTAAAAGTCTCTTATGGTTTGCCTGTTTTTATCTTGTTTTTCCTTCTCTTCCCCTATGTTCATCTGTTTTGTTTTTTAAATTCCACATATGAGTAAAAGCATATGCTATTTGTCTTTGACTTATTTCACTTAGCATAAAACATTATAGTTCCATCCCCATCGTTGCAGATGGCAAGATTTCATTCTTTTTGATGACTAATATTCCATCGTGTGTGTGTGTGTATACATGATGTTTATATACAATGGAATGTATGCGTGTGTGTGTGTGTGTGTACCACATCTTTATCCATTCATCAGTCGATGGATATTTGAGCTGTTTCCATAATTTGGCTGCTGCCAGTGCTGCTATAAACATTGGGGTGCATGTACCCCTTCAAATCAGTATTTTTGACTCTTGGATAAATATCTAGTAGTGCAATTGCTGGGATGTAGGGTAGTTCTATCTTTAACTTTCTGAGGACACTCCACACTGTTTTCCAGAATGGCTGCACCAGTTTGCATTTCCGTAAACAATGGAAATTCATCCTTGCCAACATTTGTTTTTTCCTGTGTTGTTAATTTTAGTCATTTTGAAAGGTGTGAGGTGGTATCTCATTGTAGTTTTGATTTGTATTTCCCTGATAATGAGTGATGTTGAGTATTTGTTCATGTGTCTATTAGCCATTTGTATATCTTCTTTGGAGAAGTGTCTGTTCGTGTCTTCTGCCCATTTCTTAACTGGGTTATTTTTTGGGTGTTGAATTTGATAAGTTATTTATGGTTTTTGGTGCAACTGTAAGTGGGATCGATTCCTTGATTTCTCTTTCTACTGCTTCATTTTTGGTGTATAGAAATGCAACAGATTCTGTATGTTGATTTTGCATCCTGTGACTTAGCTGAATTCATATATCAGTTCTAGCAATTTTTTGATGAAATCTTTCAGGTTTTCCATGTAGAGTATCATGTTGTTTGTGACGACTGAAAGTTTGACTTCTTCCTTGCCAGTGTGGATGCCTTTGATTTCTTTTTGTTGTCTGAATGCTGAGGCTAGAACTTCCAGTACTATGTTGAACAACAGTGGTGAGAATGGACATCCCTCTCATGTTCCTGACCTTAGGGGGAAGCTCAGTTTTTCCCCGTTGAGGATATTAGCTGTGGGTCTTCCATAGATGGCCTTTATAATGTTGAGGTATGTTCTTTTCATCCCTACTTTCTTGAGGGTTTTTATCAAGAAAGATGCTATATTTTGTCAATTGCTTTTTCTGCATCTATTGAGGGAATCACATAGTTCTTATCCTGTCTTTTATTAATATGGTGTATCATGTTGATTGATTTGCTGATATTGAACCACCCCTGCAGCCCAGGAATGAATCCCACTTGATCCTGGTGAATAATTCTTTTAATGCACTGCTGGATTTGATTTGCTAGTATCTTGTTGAGAATTTTTACATTGATGTTCATCAGGGATATTGCTCTGTAATTCTCCTTTTTAGTGGGGTCTTTCGTTTTCAAATCAAGGTAATGCTGGCCTCATAGAGTGAGTTTGGAAGTTTTCCTTCCACTTATATTTTTTTGAACAGTTTCAAAAGAATAGATATTAATGCTTCTTTAACTGTTTGGTAGAATTCCTCAGGGAAGCCATCTGACCCTGGACTCTTGTTTGTTGGGAGATTTTTTATTACTAATTCAGTTTCTTTACTGTTTATGGGTCTGTTCAAATTTCCTGTTTCTTCCTGTTTCAGTTTTGGTAGTGTATGTTTCTAGGAATTTATCCATTTCTTCCAAATTTCCCAATTTGTTGGCATATAATTGCTCATAATATTCTCTTGTAATTGTATTTCTGAGGTGCTGGTTGTGATCTCTCCTCTTTCATTTGTGATTTTATCTATTTTTGTCCTTTCTCTTTTCTTTTTGAGAAGTCTGGCTAGGGGTTTATCAGTTTTGTTAATTCTTTCAAAGAACAATCTCCAAGTTTGGTTGATCTGTTCTACTGTTTTTTGTGATTTCTATATCATTTATTTCTGCTCTAATCTTTACTATTGCCTTCTTTTGCTGGTTTCGGGCTTTATTTGCTCTTCTTTTGCCAGTTCCTTTAGATGTAAGGTTAAGTTGTGTGTTTGAGACATTTATTCCTTCTTGAGAAAGGCCTGTATTGCTATATACTTCCCTCTTAGAACCAACCTTTGCCGCATCCCAAAAGTTTTGGACTGTCATGTTTTCATTTTCACTTGGCTTCCATGTATTTTTTTATTCTTTGATTTCCTGGTTAACCCATTCATTCTTTAGTAGGATGCTCTTTAACCTCCATGTATTTGTGGTCTTTCCAAATTTTTTTCTTGTGGTTGACTTCAAGTTCCATAGCAGTGTGGTCTGAAGATATGCATGCGATGATCTCAGTCTTTTTGTACTGGTTGAGGCCTGATTTGTGACCCAGTATGTAGTCTGTTCTGGAGAATGTTCCATGTGCACTCAAAAATAATGTGTATTCTGCTGTGTTAGGGTAAAATCCTCTGAATATATCTGTTAAGTGCATGTACTCCAGTATGTCATTTAAGGCCATTGTTTCTTTGTTGATCTTCTGCTTAGATGATCTGTCCATTGCTGTAAGTAAGGTATTAAAGTCCCCTACTATTATCGTATTATTATCAATGAGTTTCTTTGAGTTTGTTATTAATTGATTTGTATATTTGGCTGCTTTAAAGTTGGGGACATAAATATTTACAATTATTAAATCTTCTTGTTGAATAGACCTTTTTATTATGATATAGTGCCCATCTTCATCCCTTATTATAGCCTTTGGTTTAAAATCTGATGTGTCTGATGTATTCCAGCTTTCTTTTGATGTCCATGTAGCATGATAAATGGTTCTCCACCTCACTTTCCATCTGGATGTGTCCTTGGGTCTAAAATGAGTTTCTAGTAAACAGCATATTGATGGGTCTTGTTTTTGTTTTTGTTTTGTGTGGTTTTTTTTTGTTTGTTTGTTTGTTTTTTACCCATTCTGATACTCTGTCTTTTGATTGGAGCATTTAGCCCATTTACATCCAGAGTAATTATTGATAGATATTTACTTAGTGCCATTGTATTACCTGTAAAGTTGCTGTTCCTATAGATTGTCTCTGTTTCTTCCTAGTCTTTGTTGCTTTTCTTTCTTTCCCGCTCAAAGAGTCCCCTTTAATAATTCTTGCAGAGCTGGTTTAGTGGTCACAAACTGTTTGGTTTTTGCTTGTCTTCGAAACTCTTTATCTCTCCTTCTATTCTGAATGACAGCCATGCTGGATAAAGCATTCTTGGCTGCATATTTTTCCCATTTTGCACATTGAATATATCATGCCACTCCCTTCTGGCCTGCCAAGTTTCTGTGGACAGGTCTGCTGCAAACCTTATGTGTCTATCCTTTAGGTTAAGGACCTTTTATCCTAGCTGCTTTCAGAATTCTCTATCATGTATTTTGCAAATTTCACTATAATATGTCTCGGTGTTCACCTGTTTTTATCAATTTTTAGAGGAGGTCTCTATGCCTCTTGGGCTTGAATGTCT